TGTCTCTTTTGCTGCGCCAGAGTAATGGATCTTGCCAGAAGGCATGAACTTAGTAGGTGAATTTAGGAGACCAGGGTTTTGCAAGCTGCCCTTCAGATAACCTGGTCACCTGCCATTTAGGGCTGGGAGGAAATTAATTTTTTAAACCTTACAAAATCATTGTGACATAACATGACGGAGATTTTTTTTAGCCAGCGAGAGACTTTTTAAATCCGCGAGGGAATGAAATGAGGGAGAGGAATGCTGATCCCAAACCTGTTTGTAGAATGAGAGATGAGATAACACCGTCGCGAGACGTGGATGAAAGATAATTGAAAACACTCGAGGGGTTGAGGAGACGGCCTGCGAAAGATGCCTCTGAGCATACGATAGTCCCTGACTCCGCCTGCCGACACGTGAGAGCCAGCTTCCTCGCGCTGGGTCATGTAATGATCTCTCATGCGGCAATTGGGTGACATCCAGAGGCACATGTGGATGCTCAGGTGGAGAAGGAATGAAGAAAGTAAGAACGACGACGGAATGAACAAGGATAAACCCTGCTCACAAGTGCCAGCAAGGAACAGAAAATGGCCCGGTCAGCCATGAAAGAAGCATTTCCTGAAAATTGCAGGCGCTCTGTCTTTTAAAGCGAGACGTGAACTGCTTTTCCTGCTTCTGATGCTCAAGGATGCCCGTTGCTAAAAGGACCCAGAAGCAGCCCGGAGAAGATTATTAGCGTGTTCGGGAAAATCCAAGCTACAGAAAATCTTAACGCAAACAAACAAACCAGGGGACAATGCCAGTCAGAACCAGCCTGGTGAGATTTCATTGACCGCAGAAAGCTGGCTGCTGCGGGATGGAGTGCCCGGCACAGGGGAAGGCTGTACTGCAACATTGGGTTGCAGTATCCTAGCCTCGTTCTCAAAGATGGCAGAGATCAGCTCAGCCTGCCCGCAGCTTGAGCAATTTTTGGGGTGCTGCACACAGAAGGAAGATCGCTAGGTGTTGTGGACTTCAGTTCCCAGAAGCCTCTGGGCAACAGTCAGGGATGCTGGGAAATGAAGTTCAGAATACCTGGAGAACTTACTTTCCAAACATCCCAGATAAGTTGATACACCCCATGATCTTTATAGCCTTCTAAAGTTTTTGGACTGCAAAGTGCCTTTCTCCCAGTCCTGTCTTATCTTGAAGGGACAAAACGTGTTTTGACTTCTTTTCTCTGCTCCACCCACTTCTCAGCATATCTTCCCAACAACCCTCTGAGGTAGGTTAGGCTGAGAGACTGAGCAAGGTGACCTAGGGAACTTGATGCCTGGGATTTGAACCCAGGTCTGCAATCTCAGCTTTCCACACTAAGAAAATATAATGATTTGCTAGCAGCTTTATATGAGGCTACTTGCTTTTAAAAGCAGCTTTGGCCATTCTCAGTCCATTCTAGCTATTTTCAACCACAAGAAGTGCATCAATTCAGTGGAAGATTGCTGGGTAGCAAAACACCTACCCCTATGAGAGGCTCCCGTTGTGTCTCTGTGAGATGCCCTGCCCTGAATTTGGCTTGTTCCCAGTGACCTTTGCTTCAGCACAGGCAATGTTATCACATCTCTGAAGTACAGTAGAATGATCCAGTCACTCCAAATGCAGGGGACCGCTGAATCACTTGCCTCGGGGGAGACTCCCTGTTGCATCTCTGTATGAGTCACTGATCTAGGCATGAAACTGATTAGAATGCCATATGCCCGGAGCAGTGACTCATGCAGCAGCTCCTCCATTCTTCTTCAGCTATTGTGTAAGAGAGATGTCATGACAGCGTGATTCTAGCGTAGGATGAAGGAGGTCTAGCCTGAAACCTCTACAAGCCTTCATGTTCCCTGGATGACTTTTGGCCGGCCTAGCCCACCTCACAGGGGTGTTGTGAAGAGAAATGGGGGAGAGAACCATGTGCACTGGGTCATGTATCTCAGAGAAGGAGCAGGATAAAAATGCAAAAGCACAGCAGCCCTTCGAGATGCAAGGGTGAAAGAGAGCAGGAGGAAGGTGCCAACGGGAAATGTGGTGAACTCTTTGTAGTTTCAGACTCTGAACACAATCATCTTAGAGGTGAGAGGGATCTTTTGATGTTCGTGTGTGTTATGAATCCACTAGGGGTGCAAACACAAGGGATCCAGTGTTGTCTGGAGGGCACAGATTAAGTTGGACTCCCAGCTGTGACTTTGGAAAAACAAGTCATTAAGCATACTGATGCCCCCTGGATCTTTAGGACTACCACTCCCATCAGCACCAGCTAGTTTGCTTGGTCAAGGACCAGGAATTATGCGGCATCCTCGCCCAAACTCCCTGGCCAGGGGCACCGGGGCTGCCTCTCCCAGCACAGCAGGCCAGCGCCAAAAGTTGGTGTGGTTGGGCATGTGCCGAGGTCCATCTCAGAAGTCCCACTGGCAAGATCTCCTGGGACCGGCTCCTCTTCCTCACCATTGCCTGGTTCAACAGCTTCACAGCGGACAGAGGGCTGGGGGGGGGGGAGACCCCTGGGAGCCAGCAATGGTGGAGGCCCATCCATCTCCAAGCAGAATGGGAGAAGCTGCTGCAGAAATTCAGTATTTCTAGCCTGCAGCAGAGATGCTAAAGGGATAACCTGATTGCTGCCTAGGGGTATTTGAAGAACTGCCACGTGGATGATGGGGCTACATTGCTCTCAGCCGCTCCAGAGGGCCAAAAGACACAAAAAGGGGCTTTTCACTAACCACTAGGAAGGACTCCTGGATGTCCCAAGCTCGGTCACAAGGCCAGGCAACTGGATTAGCCGATTTCCTGCTAGATGACCTTTGGGAATCATTCCAGTCTGCGGGAGCTTGATGGAGAAACACACAAAGGGAGTTCCGGCTGCCTCCAGCAGGGGGCGCTGAACCCCTTTCCACTTAGGGGCCGCATTTCACGGGCCAAAGGTTCTGCACCTTCGACTCCGGCCTTCCGCACATGACACAGACAGATGCCCGTCAGCCGGCGACTCAGCCAGCATCCCGACCAGCATATAGATCCTGCTCCAGTCCAGCCCTCGCGGGGGTGATTCAGGCCGGCCGGCTGCATCTGAGTCCCACAGGCCACTGCAGCCTCCGGAACAGGCTGGCCTTGCTGAACCAGTCCATGCAAATGAACCTCTCTCCCTCCGGGCACGAAGCATCCTCAGATATTTTCAAAACACTCACCCCATTCATCAAAGGGATCCCCAATTTTTAAAAACACTCCCCGCCAGTTTCTTGAAATCTAAGGACCACTTGGCCGGCACAGATGCCCTGTTGACGTTTTCTGGGCTCTTGGAGCAGAGGCAGCCTGGTGCACTGGTTAGAGCGCTGGGTTAGAACCAGGAGGAGTACCTGAAATCCTGACTCAGCGAGAAGGCTCACGAGGAAAGCCAGTGGCTCCGTCGGCCTCACTTCGCAGACTTGTTGTGAGGATAAAAGCGGGAAAAAACAATGCTTTGAACCCCAAACGGATCCGCAGGGTTCCAACCATCAGGCCAGTCCCCGATTTTGGACATCTCTTGTCCCTGAAGTCCCGAATTTTACATGGGCTCCGACAATTGCGTTCCCGTTTCTCATTTCTAGAGCCCAACAGGATGCAGCTGGACTATTTTAGCACAGCGGCTTCGCCCCCCTGCCTCCACCGAGGCCGCACCATAGAACAAGTCCCTTCGGAGAATGGTTAGCTGGCCCTCCTGCTCCCGTCGCGGCACGCCGAGCCCCTGGCTCCACACCCCAAATCTTGCCTCGCTCACGTCTCCACCTGGGAACATCTCCCCTCGTCTGACTTCCTTTTGGAAACCACTCAAAACGCTTCTTTATCGCTCTAGGCATTCGGGAGTGTCGGCAGCTGTGCTCCAACCTTTTAATTTATTGTTAGGTTTGGGGGTTTAAGATGTTTTGTCGGTTTTAATTTTCCAGTGTGTAAACAAACTCCCGGGCGCTGCTTTGGATGGTGGCGATAAATGAATTCTCTGCTGAATTTCCCGGAAAACACGGAGGGTGGGAAAAGGGAAAGGCAGAACTGAGAGAGATGCATCAGGGAGGAGTCGGGGCTGCAAAGCACGAAGGAGTTACTTGCAAAAGCTAAGAGGAAGCAGGCAAAGTCTGTCGTATTAATAAGAGTAATGGGCTATTATTAAAGGGAAGGGCAGGACCAGTCCGAACTGGGACCAGGGCAGGCAGAGAGTGGCTGTTAATGGGGAGGAGATAAGAACCTGGAGGGCCAAGAGAGCGACCTGCTCAGCCGGCCAAGGTTAAGACAACAAGGAAGTTGCCACCTGGGGATTTCAGGGAGAAGGTTTACGAACGCCCGTTGCTCTGCAGCGTCATCCTCGCAAAGCAGAAAAGAGGGCCGTAGCGGGCAAGAAGGGGTTAAGGCCAGGGATGGTGGGACCTCCTGCAGGGAGGGTTGGCGAATGCCTGCCCTTGGAAACGGGCCACGCCATGGGATTTAGCGAGGGTGTGCCAGCGTCCTGTGTTGCAGAGGATAGTCCTTTATGTCTGCGGTCCACAACATGGGATCTGTCGTCACGGCAGATGGGAGCTGTGCTCATTGCTCTCTTAGCAGCCAAGATGCCCAGCTTCCCTGCTTTTTAAAAAAAATTAGCTGGGATGTGGCATTCCGCAAAGCAAAAACCGTTCCCTGGAAGCATCTGGATTCGTGTCCAAAAAGGCGGTGTTGGGTTTTTTGGAGTTTAGCCCTTCACTTCTTCCTCGGGAAGGCTACTTTTCCACTCGTCCCACCCCTGTGCCTTTGGAGGAGCTCGCTTCCTCCCCATGCAGGGGCCATTTCGTGCGAGCACCCCCCCCCCAAGCCCCGTTTCCAAATGCATCCACCAACTCAGAAAGGGGCCCCCAGCTCGCCACGGCCTCCGCCACCACTGAACGGCGTTGTCTGTCTGTCTCAGGCTTCTGTTCAGGTGCCCGCGGCTGCCACCAATCGTCCACGGCCACCACTGAGCAGGCTAAAAAGCCCCCCCAGAGAGATCCCTGGAGGGTTTCATGGAGACGGTAACCCTCCTCTCTTCCCAGCTGAGGAGAAGCAGCGGCTGGGGTACGTGTTGACGTTTTTCCTCTCTCGCAGCTCCGCTCTTCTCTCTCCCTGCTCCAGGGCAGGGACACTGGGGATGATGGGACGCCGTGGAGCTCATGGCCGGCATTCGATAGCTTAAGCCTGAGGTGGCGGTGGTGGCGGTGAAAGCTAAGACGGCAGGGGCCTTTCTGGGTCAGGCTTAGAAGGTCCAGCTAGCCCCAGTGTTCTGCTTCCAGCAGGGGACAGCTGGATGCTTCTGCCAGTGCGTTTGGTGACGGCTTTTCCTTGAGGTCTGTTCATAGGGACGCTGTTGTGTGCTGCGGTTTCACTGAGCTGGTGCGAGCTGCAACTTTTGACGGGTGCCGTCCTTCAGACATGCCTCTTCTCCTTAAAGGATCTCTTTAAGCTTGCGGTGTCCTTGGTCATGTTTGTGGTTTGATTCTGGCTAAGCGTCCCTCTCGGGAAGAAAAGCCTTGGGCGGCTCTACAAGGCGTCTTGTGGGCCCCACCGGTTGTTTCTATGACATTCTGTGTATGTTCCGTCTTCCTTCTTCCATGGAACGCCCCTCCTCTTCACTTTATTCACACAACCACCACCTTGCGAAGTAGGCCAGTCACCCAGCGAGTGCCACGACTGAGTGAGGACTAACCCCAGGATCTCCCAACTCCCAGCCCAGTGCTCTAACCACTGGGCCGCACTGCCTGTCACTGCGGCACTGCCATGTTTTTAAAGCGGGGTGGGTGAGAAGGGGGGATACGGCCCTATTTCTGGAGGGCTGCTTAAAGCCGGGGTGTCGAACCTCAGGCCTGGCAGACAGCATGGAGTCCCCGAGTTGGGGTGCCCCCAGCCCAGCCGCAGCCAGACGTCCTCCTAGAGATGCCAGGCGAGGGCTCGGTCGGCGGAGCATCTCATCCAGCTGACGCCTTTCGGCACACACCTAACCAGGCTTCCATCTGCCTTGTGTCTCCCCAGGTTACGTCATGTCGTGTTTCTCCCAGGCCCGGCACACGGAGGACCCGGACTCCCCGCCAACGAGCCCCATCAGCCCTGTGCCAGCCGCGCCCCACGAGATCCCCATCCCGCTCAGCCCCATCGTCATCACCACCGCCTCGCCGCTGGATGGCAGGCCGGCGGTCTGCTCGCCCCTCGGCTCCCCCGTGGGCTCCCCGGGGGACGGGAAGGCCCGGCTGGGCTCGCCCACCTCGCCTATCGAGTGCTCCATCTGCTTCAACACCTACGACAACCTCTTCAAGACGCCCAAGGTGCTGCAGTGTCAGCACACCTTCTGCCTGGAGTGCCTGGCCCGGCTGACGGCCGCCCTGCCGCCCGCCCGGGCCGAGGACCAGCTGCCCTGCCCCTTCTGCCGGCAGCTCACCGACATCCCGCTGGAGGGGCCGCCCGGCCTGCAGACCAGCACGGACCTGCTGGCCACGCTGCCGCCCGAGTTCCAGCGCGAGAAGATGCTCTGGATGGAGGGCACCAGGCTGTGCTGCCGGCAGTCGTCCGACCCGGAGAGTGCGGAGGAGCATCTCAGCATCGACGTGGCGCCCAGCAAGCCCGAGGTGCCCCCGACGCCCACGGAGGGCTTCATGGGCAGGCTGGCGCGCTGCGACGTCTGCGACGACTGGAAGCGCGTGCTGCTGCTCTCGGTGCTGATCATCATCCTCTTCTGCATCATCCTCTGGCCCGTCCAGTGCGCCCTCAAGACGGGCAACCTCCGCTGCTTCTCCCGGACGTTCACGGTGAATTACGCGCCGCCCCATCTTCCCACCTCCCCAGCCCCGACCTCGGGCACCGTCGGCCCGGTGGAGTGACCCAGGATGACCCCGGGAGCACCTAGCGGGGAGGCGGCCCCCGCGCCCTGCTTCATGTGCCGAAGGCCGAGTTGCAATCGCTGGCATCTCCAGGTTTTGCATCACCGTTCCAGGAAGAGAGGACCAGGCGGCCCGTGATGCAAACGCTGCTTGCCCGACTCTCGGCAGGGCCGGAACGACCAGCACAGAACAGTGCCGAGCTCCTACAGGCCCGAGAGCTGAGGACGCCAAGGGTGTGTGTCCCAGCCGCTACCCGATTCCAAAAGTGCCAGGAGGGGGCAGGTAGCAGAAAGTCCTGGGACTCGGCCTGCGTGCCGAAACGGGCACACGCCAACTTATGGACGCTCTGAATCTTGGCGCGCGTGCCTTCAAAGAAGCCATGTGGGATGGACTGCCTCTTTGGAAAAGGATGCAGGGGCTGAGCCGGGAAGGGCCGCGATTTCCGCAGGAATCCTCCCATGGAAAGAGGTGGGGGCAGCGGGGGCGACGCACCGGTGGGGCCGAAGCCAGCTCATCCGAGGGGATCCGAAGCAGCTCCGCCTTCAGCGAGAGCTGCGTCTCGAAAGGACTGGCGCCGGGGGTGTGGAGGACGGCCGGATCCGGCCTCGGAGCCTGCCATTCAGTTTCCTGGGGGAGACGCTTCCCGCAGGAGACGGCGTGCCAAGTTCAGACACAACCCGCGGCGACACCTTCTGCACCCCCCCCCCCGTTCCTATTTGCTAAGCTTGTGCTGCCGCTTCCATGCATACACAATGCCCCGTCTCACCTTGGCGCGTCACGGCAAACGCCGAATAAAAAGGACTCCTTGCTATGGACCACTGACAACCCCAACGAGGTGTATGTGTGGATTATGTTTCAAAGGGTTGGAGGAGAAAATATTTAATTTTGTATGTGCTATTAAACAGCTCCGTTTGGTATAGATGGAGATACTGAGCGTCTTTTGGCATGCCTGGGTTTTCTCTTGCGGGCTTCCTGGGAAGGAGAACAGGTATTTGTTGAAAAAAATGGGAGAGGGGAGCTACCAAAATGAGGAAGGGGGCCTTGGTTTCTTTAACAGCGGGACAGAAGGAATTCTGGGGTGTGGAGAGGGTGCTTTGCTCTCAACAGCCCGGAACTGAGTCTCTGCATCTTCCTTTCTGGTGCTAAATTAAAGTTATTCCCCATTCCACACACCCAGTAATCTGTTAGATCATCCTGGCTCATCCTAGTCAGAATAAAATTACATGTGAAAAATAGATGGCTGAGAATTAAATTCAGGATTTTGGTTAGTCATTCCAAAACTGCACGTATTTCTTCAGAATTTGGGTGGGTGGGGGGTGACCTCTTCCCCATGGAGGGCACCTGTTGGGGGGGGTGGGCAAAAGGAGCAGGGCTAAAACACTTGTATCTTGTAGTGCAAAGCTTCCTTTAAGTCTTCGAAAGGCATTTCGGACAGGCGGGCTGGGGGCTGAGGGAAGTTGCACACAACTACTGATTGTGGGACGGGCTGTGCCACTTGGGCAACCTCGCAGGGCTGGACTGGGGGTTCAGGAAGGGCAGAATGGGCTCCCCACCCAAGATTTTGGAGAGAACGGGCACGGAATTTCAGGAAGCGCCAAAGCAGGGGAAAACGAAACGGACACTACCTGTACTCTGCAACAGCCATGATTTTCTGAGGGAAGAAGACGGAAAATTCAGCTTTTGATAAATTGCAGCGCTGTTTAAGACGCTTCGGTATTTAGGCTCCAGCCAGCTGACCTCTAGCCTGCAGGTCCCAGGGACCAATTCTTCCAGTTTGAGCTTGAAATGCACCCAAATAACCCCCCAAAACAAATAGTAAAAAAAACCACTGAGGCAATGATGCTCCGAATTGCTCATCAAGGTGAATAGCTAAAACCAGCTCTTAACCTTTCTGAAAACACGGGCCAGCATTCTCTGTCGTACGTAAATGCCATGGCATTTGTACACACTAAGCATCTCTTCACACTCCTGGTTGGAAGCCCCTATAAAGTTTGAGGCTTAATTTGGAAGTTCTGTGTTCAGAAGACTCCTGTGTGTTTTATTTTTTAAAAAAGTTACAAAAACGAGGAAGGCCGCTAAGGCACCGAGAGGCACTTTGCACCGAAAGAAAAGTGTTTCGCTTCCACCGCTGAAGCTACGGATCGGAAATTGTGTGCTGTGCGATAAACCCTTGAAATGGAGAATATGTAAAAGGCAGGCTTCTAAAGTTCAAAAGAAGTGATAAAGAGGCTCTCTTAATATTCTCCAAGGGCGGAGGGGAAGTTAACAATAAATAATGGGGTACATGGAGTTCTCTCGGCCTCCATGATGGATAAAACGCATTGCAAACACAGCTGGATACAATGCCAGAATATCAATAGCTAAACTAGAAATGTGCCATAATTTAATACTTGGGGAACCCCAGGCCACAGGCCCAAGCAAGGCCTTTTGGGGTTCTAATCCAGCCCCCCAAAGTTCCCCCAGATGGCCTCCCAGTCTCCATCCCAGTCTCTTTCCCCAACCATCATTCATGTGGCCATGTCCGATTTCTGGTGCTTTCCTCCCATTCCAGAACATGCCTCTTTTACGCACCCAGTCCTGGCAGTTTGAGCTTTAAGGTGCTGGTTATTTTCTGAATTTTGGGCCTGCCTCGCTTTGCCTTTGGGAGACTCTCTTAAACGGAAATCGAAAATCTCCCTTCTGACTGAGAGGATTCCCACCAAGCACAAAGATGTGCAATGTTTGGATACATTCTCCAAGGACACAGTCCTCTGCCTTATCCCCCAGAGTTTGCAAGCCCCCAAACTCAGAGGCGTCTGAGCATCCGGTGCAGAGCACGCCACCCCTGTCCACCCCGCACTCTGCATTTTAGCTAGACCACCACGTGGGACTTTCTAGCTGGGGCACTTCGATGACGGGGCGAGCGTCCTTTTTCAAAATACCTACCTTGGTGGCTCACTCTTCGCCCCTCCTTGCACCCAGAATGCCCCCTTCCCCCTCCTCCAAGGTCAGCTTCCCACTTCCCAGCCTCCGAGAGACGCCTGGCATTGCTCTTCCATGTGGCCCGAAGTGAGAAGAGGACGGAACGTGGGCCAGCGGGAGCAGCCGAGGTTTGCACCCAATCTTGATCTGGGAACGGTGCTAAGACCACTTCCTTAAACCTGCAAGTTCAGCTTAGCTCTGGCTGGGGAAGAAGCTTGCAAAGAAACACCCTCTGCTTCCGAGCCGGCTATGGGGAGGGAGGGCCCCGTAACGGCCAAGGACCTGGCCGGCAGAACCGGACGGTGCTTTCTGCGACAACACCCGTCACTGCAGCCCTCCTTGTGCCATCACACGCGACAGCCATGTAACGATGCGTCGTTGGTTTTCCTGTTTTCATCCTGTTTTAAAATCTCCCCTGCCCATTCCCCAACGGGGCCTTCATTCACTTAGTGTGCTCTTCTATCCATCTGTCTGTCTATTTGGAGGTGCTTGCAGGTAAAAAAATTAGCAAATTCTTGAAAACATCGGCAGGGCTTGGAAGTGCACCTCTCTCTCTCTCCCTCTCTCTCCTGAATAAGTTAGGCCAAGGCTTGTTCCTAGGGACTAGCTGCTTCTCTCCTCTGGCAAAAAGGGCGGTGCGTGGCTTTGGTGGCTTTGCTGTGCGGGATCCAGGTGCTTGCAGGATGCGAGGACACGGTCGGCTTGCAAACCGAGGAAGCAGCCGTGACAGCAGAACGTGGAGGAAAGAGTGGAGGGAGCCCTCAGCTAGTCCTGAAAATGCAAACACGTTTCAGAAGAGGAAGCGGCGCGAAAGGGTACCGTGTGGGGTGATGCTGGGATTTAAGGAGGGGAAGGCATTTTGTTTCTGAATTTGAGCACTTGCAACGGTGGTCTGACTGTAGCTCCAGGTTTCCACATTTTCCGGCTGGGGAAAGCCCCCCCCCCCCCGCCACCCCGGCCATGCGATTCCCTGGATGACTCGGGACCAGAGGGAAGACGACGGCGTGGGCTGCCTGGAATGAAAACCAGGCCCAAACACAATGCTGAATAATAACCACTAATAAAGCCACTGAAGCACTACACACTCCCCGCTGCAACATTCTGTTGCAGGCAAAAAGCTCTGCAAGCACGCACCCTCTTACCTGTTTTCTAGCCACCAGTACATGTCGATTCCAGAATTCGCTATCTCCCTGAGTTGCTTATCCCCGAGACCTTCGTGGCCTTGACCCCGAGGTTCTGATAAATAGCAGCGGATTCGTCGTCAGCCCTGGAGAGACAAGAGGCGGCCGCTGAGGGCAGCTCCCATCCGCCACCCTGGGGCACCGAAGCTTCTCAGGGTCGCAAGGCTCGCCCAGCTGGCCCCAAGCGGCGTCTTCCGCTTTCGCCACCTCGTCCTTTCCACCGGAGATGCTTTCAACTGAGCCTGGGAGCTGGTTTGAATTCGCACATGCAGCAGCTCGGATGTCTACCAGATGGCACGGCTGTCCTGCTCGTTTTCCCCTTCTCCAGACCCCACCCCACCCTCTTCTTCTGCCCGTGACTAAGGGACTCGCTATTCGCCACCCAGCAGATGGCGGAAACCTGCAAGAAAAAATCCAGCCGATTTCAGGTACCCACAAAGCTGACCGGTGGATTCTGCAGCAGAGTGGATCTTCCCCGGCTGCGGGGACCCGGCAACAGACTTTTTTGCTTTCCCTAATTTTACTCAAATGCAGGCACAATTCAGAGAAACACCTGAAACGCAGGGACACTGGCTGAAAATGCAAATTCTCTTGCAGAGATGGTGGCTTCAGTGAGTGCATCGGGGCCGGATTTGAACGCTTTCAGAAGGACAAATTCGCACACGTGGAACCTGGCGCAGATTTCTCCAGCCGCGTTCGTGCAAAAGCCGATTCGGCCAACAAGCAGCCTTGGGGGTGGACGGCCTTTGAGAATCTGCAGAACACCGATTTCAAAGTCTGTCCGTTCCTCCATGGCTGAGCATGATACGTTATTTTCTTGTGGAACTGTTTTTAATGTTCTGGGTCCTGATAGTTTTAAGGTGGCTTGCTTTAAATTCTGGGGCCGTTCATGGGACGTCTTTCCGGCCAGTGCTCATATCCAAGAAACAAGCAAGCCGCTTACCCCGTCTGGACCCTCGGAGAGGGGGCACGAGGGTTTCCTCTTGGTTTCTCCATGGGGGAGTATCTGATATTCAAGTATTCTTTCTCCTTCCTCAGATTTCTCTGCAAAGGGAAGCAAGAATGGAATCTCTTTCAGGCAGAGGGACCAAATTCTGTTTTCGACAAGTGCTTGGGATCCACTTTCTGGTGGCAGGACCGAAAACTAAACGGCCGGGCCAAAAGACAAAACTACACAGGACTGAGAGAGGAATCCGATGTTTGCAAACCACAAACTACATAAATGCAAACTACACAGTCAGGGGAAAGAAGGCCTGGCCGCGGGGTGGGGATGGGGTCTCCTGGTGAACACAGAGAGCCTGAACTCTGCCCCCCTTCTCCGGACCATTTCTGGACTCTCACGACAACCCTGTGCGGTAGGAGAGTCTGCGCGCCAGTGGGCACTAGAACCCGAGTCTCCCCGGTCCCAATTCAGCACCTCACTGCTACACCGCCCAAACTTTTGAGCCAGCCCCAGAACCAACAGGAAGCATCCCTGCATAACCTCCCGCCAGCGACACCCCTTCGGTGCAGGCCAAGCACCGCCCCTCACCTGCTCCTCCTCCCTCTCCTTCTGCTGCGTGGCGATGAACTGCTGCACAGCCATGTAAACGAACTTGTACTGCGCCTCCGTCTGCACCATCCCGGACCGCTGCCTCCGCACCATCTGGATGGTCTTGGGAATGTCGATGTCGCAGTCCAGGCCTAGCGGGGGCCGAGACGGCAGGAGGGGGGTTTGTGGGGTCCGCAGAGAGGGAGGAGCAGAGCAAGCCCCCGCCAGACCCTTGGATGGGCCTGGCCTGGATTGATTGCTCGCCGGGGAATCCCAGCCGCATCACACAAACCCGGCAAAATGTGTCCAGAGAATTCCCTGCCAGTTTGTCTGGCTATCCTTCCGTTAATAACTTGCAGGCTATGTCAGGTTTGCGGCGGGGGGGGCGTCATTTTGTGCCCACCCTCCTGGGGAGGCAACTTCTACCTGTGACAGGCCGAGGGCCAACTGGCAAGACTGCCATCAAAACCCAAAAATCAGCCCCGCAAACACCCCCCCACCCCTTTTCCAACAAAGATCAGCAAGGAGACAAGCTCAAGAAAGAGGCCTCCACATTTACCTTGCCTGTGGATCGTGTCCACCAAGATGTCAATTACGATAATGGTACCCGTGCGTCCGATCCCAGCGCTGGAGAGGGGAAAAGAGAGGGAGACAAAAAGGGGGGGGGGCTTTTTTAAGCAGCCTAGCTGCTTAACTGCCCCCCCTTAAAAAGAAAAAAAAAGGCTTTAACTTGGTGCAAAAAAATAGAAAATAAAAAATAAATACAGTGTTGGTGCAGGTTTCCCCACAGGAAAGACTCTTTTCTGCTCAGAATCAGTTGACTTTCCCTGCAGAAAAATCTTGCTTGGCCCGCCAGCCGATGCCCAGTGCGACCAACTTCTGGCGCCAGGGGACCCTTGGGGCGCACTGCCCCCTGCTGGCCCCTCACCTGCAGTGCACGACAATCGGCCCCGTGTCGGGGATGCTCCTCTGGGCTCTGTTGACTTGGTCGAGGAAGCTGAGGACCCCTCCTGGCTCGTTGGGCACCCCATGGTCCGGCCAGCTGAAGTACTGGAAGTGCTTGATCCGCCTGGGCCGCTCCTCCTGGAACGTTCGGGAAATGCAAGGGCAGGTTGGGAAGGGGAGATCCAGGCATCCCTGCTGCTTCCGGAAGGCCGGCAGGGGAAAGGGTGACGTGCAGCTCCAGCAGAACTGCTGAGGAATCTCGCAAGGAGAACGAGAAATATTTGCACAGCGTAAAACTGACGCGGCGGAAGGTATGCAAGGACGAGGGCTTGCGACTCACACTCTCCTCTGTGCCCGCGACTCATCTTAGGATCAAATGAAGCAGCAGGGGAGTTGCACAGAAGGGCAGGGAAAGCACCCCAAATGTTGGAGGAAGAAAGAATCCACTTGTGGCTGTGGTTGCCTAGTGGTTAGAGTATCAGTTTGGGACTCGGGAAACCCAGATCCTTGCCCCCACTTGGCTATGAAGCTCATGGGGGTGATTCTGGGCCAGTCACGATGATGATGGTGACATTTCTATACCTCCCATAGCCAGAGCTCTCTGGGCAGTTCACAGCATTTAAGTCTCCCATCCAGATTTCAACCAGGCCTGATCCTGCTTAGCTTCCAAGGTTAGGCAGAATCAGGTGCTCCAGGCTATATGGAAGCTACTACACAATGGAGAATACACAAACTGGCAGCTGACTTTATAGGAGTGTCGTGAGGATAAAATGAGAGGCCATCGCAATTTGTAGGGAAGAATGCATGACAGAAATGTCATAGATTTTGTAGATTTTGTACCACTGCTATTCAAATTCGGTGCCCAGAACACTTGGATTCAGTGACCTGCATGCATTATGCAAAGTGAGACGATCTGCATATTTTCGTAATTCTCTACATCTTGAATTGGGCAGTTTTTACTGCTCTCTGCTAGATACAGGGCCAAGCAAGGAGTAACAGCAAATGAAAAACATACAAATATACAAGGGAGGGGGAATAAAGTTTCAGTATCAACCATCTTGAGCTGTTCCTCTGGCCTTGGAGATTTCAAGAGCTGCTGCTTGGACTGACAGCGTGAAACCTTTTTCAAGAGGGCTAGAAGCTTGACTTTGCTTCTCTCTTTGGTTAAAAAAAGGCAGCGGCAGAAAGATTTCCACATTTTGCACCCATCGGGACTGCAACTGGAATTGACTGGACAGCCGTTTGAGAGGGACGGTTAAACTGGGAGCCCCACTCTGAGCAGGGAGTTGGACCCTCCGGCCCCTTCCAGCTCTACTCTTCTATGATTTGACGATTTGCCGCACCGCAAATCCTGGAATTAAAACCGTTCCTACGGTTTTGCATTCCTGTAGGGTCCTAATGAGTTTTTTAAGTGGAAAGGTGAAAGAAGACTTTGCAGAAACAAGTCTAATGAGCGCCGACGGAGCAACAGCAGCCTGACCTTGCGAAGGGGCCGATGCGCGGAGGACGGAAAAAGCTGCCTCTCACCCTGTCTATCCGTACGATGTCCAGCTCGCGGAGGTGATAACCGAGAGATTCTTGCTCGCTGACGTTAGTCACACTGACGTGGCCGTATTCCTTGGTGCCGTTTCTGTCCGGCCAGTAGCGGAAACATTTATTCTGGAGACACGACGGAGAAAGAACGCGATCAATTCAACTCCGCCCGGGTGTGCATGGGCAGGAATGAAGGACAGTTTTGCTCCTGTTTGCAAATCCTCCAACCCCAAAAGCAAGCAAGAACACACCTCTGGGGAAGGTGCATCAGGTTCAAACTGTGCATTTTCTCCGAAATTTGCATTGTGGGCATGACCCTTGGTGGAAAAAATGCACATTTTTATCAGAAAAAAAGTGCATTTCAAAAGAATGGGCACTTTCCCAGTCAAACTGCACATTTTTTCCCTAATCCATGGATGGAGAAAAAAGACTCTTCCATTTGGGAGCATGAATAAGTTTTCCGGAGCAATTCCGACAAACCGGACTGCGGCCCCCAGACTAAACAGGGCGATGCATCCTTGACTCAGATGTAACAGTCTCTTCGCGACCACAGCTGTGGAGCGGCTGCAGAGAACCTCCATATTCAGGAGCTGTATACCAGCAAAGAGTTTTCGCATTGCAAACGGAGCTGGAAAAAGTGGGGGGTGTTTCTCCAGGTGGAAATGCTGTGAGCATGGCAAGGTACGGAAGGGCAGAGCTGGGCCTGCTGTGGGGCTGAACTGCCCCACTTGAGCCAGGGGTGAAGAGAAGCTGGGTCCTCCAGGGGGCTGGGACTTCCACTCCCAGAAGCCCTTGCCGGCATGGCCAGGAACACTGGGAGCTGCAGTCCAAAACTTCTTGAGATCCACCTTCCACCCCTCTCAGCCCTCAACTTGGCGAATGTCATGGGAGAAGTAGGAAGCCGAACGGAGTTGCATTACCTTGTCCTTTGGGAGCAAGCAATGGAGCCGGGGGTCAGACTAGATGGCCCGGGAGACCCCTTCGGACTCATGCTGTTTCTATGTCTCCAAAATCACCGAGAAGCCCACCCTGAGTATCAGCAATGCTCTTTCCCACCCCCACCCCCCAAATTCCTTGCATGTAGAAAAGAGGCACACAATGTTTGCCTTGACACTCTAGCTTTCTACAGGAGGGGAATTCACGCCATGTGTCGAACGAGGCAGGGGCAGAAAGAGCCCGGGCTGGGATGCAAGGCCCCGCAAAGCGATGCTCCATGCGCTCACCCTCCCTCGCTCGACTTCCTTGGTCGTCATGACGACGACATGCGTGTTCTCCTGGTATATCATGGCCCAGAAGTCGTTCACGGTGGTCTGGAGGCAGCCCTGGGTCGCGATGTAGACCTTGCTGTGCTCTGCACTCTTTCCGTCCTCAGGCGTATTCTTAAAACGGAGCAAAGGGGGAAAGAGCAGAATCAGGAAAGGATCACAGGAGAAAGGAGGGCGCATTCGGTTTGCTTTGCTTCGGATTCAATCAAGCTCTGACCAAGCATCTTTCCGCGGGAGCCATCAACCAATTAAGTTGTCTTTTTAGCCCATCCAACACCTGCCTTTTACGAGTAACTGGCTTGATTAAATTCAGACTGGAGGGCTGAATTTAAAAGCATTCTCAAAAGCTTACGCATCCTACTTTTATCTGCACTCCTGAGCACTTATGCATTCTCATATTTATTTATTCTATTTATATCCCACCGTTTCCCCTCTTTTCAAGCCACAAGGCCGCTTCCAAGATTCCCTCCTCTCCAGTTTATCCACGCAGCGACCCTGGGAGGTAGGCCGATGGAAGCCACCCGATCATGAAAACCAAAAAACCAGTGGCTGGGAAGCGAAAGCCTTCTCTGCACATGCTCAGAGCTCCCCATTATTTCAGAGCTGAAAATCCAGCTTAAATCCAGTCCAGATTCAGTCCACCTCCCTCCCGCCCTCCAATTCTGGCCCTGCACCTTTTCTGCTCACCTTAATATAATTGGCATTGATGTAATCGGCACCTGGAACGCTCTTGTCCACATCCCGGAGAGTCACGCGGGTCGTGTCGACTGAGGCGAGGAAACAAGACGGGAGGTAAAGATGAATTGAGGATAATTAATCCTACTCATTTAAGCAAGGGGAAATTACAACCCCTTGCATTCCAGATGGAGAGCCTTTTTTTTTTCCTGGGGAACATACGTAGGTTGGTACCCTAAATAAAATTCTGTCAGCCCCAGAACTTACACGGAAGAATATTTTTGTAGCGGTTCTTTGCTTTGTTCTCCAGGCGCTTCCCTTCCTTCCTGGGATAAAGGAATTTACACTCCTGTTGCTGCAGCATCTGCAGAGAATTGAACGGCACGAATCATACGGATTGATTAATGTCGAGGTTATTATGGCTAATAATATTCCAAGTCTTCACTCGGTGCTTTAAAGTTGTTTTATTACGATCCACCCTACAAGTCAAGTCAAGATTTGCAAATCGCCGACGGAGGAGACGGCGGGCCACCCTGCCGGTCCCGTGTTGGTGAAGACGGTTTTGAGTTCTTCTTCTAAACATGCATCAGCATCGTCTTAGCCGCGGCCTTCCCAGCGCAGAACAAACCTTAAAGACCCAAGAACGCTTCGAAAAGCGCGATCTTTATAGCAGACAACAAAGATCTGCAGGAGTCCAAGCCCTCTGCTGCTCGTGCATAACCAAATATAATCGTTTGGGTCCTAACGAATGAGCCTTTTCATGCTTCGGCTGAGGGGCCACCCACTTTGCCCCCAAAGCCCTACCTTCTGGTCGACCCTATTTGGTTTACCCGGCAAAGGTCACAGGGCCAGACCCTGTTTAGCACCATGTGGCTGGTCCTAGCCGCCATTTTCTTCTCCCACAATGCCCCAGATGAACATTATGGGAAATTAAAATGGTGGGCAGCCCATGGGCCAAGCTGGGCTTGGGGGACGAGGAAAGGCCGCCTGCGCTCGGGATGGTCCGGGTACCTCAAACTCCTCCCAGAAGCCTTGCTTGGCCTTCTCGCTGTGGTCCGCCATCTTGTTCAGCTCCTTCACGCGGTTCTCGATGTTGGCGGCGATGATGCGCGTGGCGTTGAAAGGCTGCGAGAGAGAGAGAAATCCAGATGTGCAGGCGGCAATGCACATAACAATATTATGTTTACTATCCCCAGCACAGGCCGCCAAGAAGAACGGGAGCGAAGACGCCGCCTCCCGAGCACGCAACTGGGGCAGCATGCCCACATAGTGCATTTTTAGATCTCTCTCTTTTTTAAAAACAGCCCCCCTCTTCAGCTAGAGCCCCCTCCAGGTGCTCGTACGGAGCGCCGCAGCTGCATTACCTGCTTCAGGTGTACAACGGCTCCGGATTTCTCCACCATGGGGTTCTTCTTGTAGTGCTCCACCAAGTCCGTGAGGGTGTCGAATCGCTCGCCGGCCCCGACGTCGTATTTGCCATCCAGCTGTGTGGGAAAAGGTGGAGTGGGAACAGGACGGGCAGCCCAGGATCATGAGCTTTTTAGCAGCTGGGGTGGAAGAACGGCAGCGGGAGGGACCGATCTGAACCGTGGCTCAGCCGCGACTCAGAGGCAGTACGGCCTAGCAGGTGGTCTGGCCGGGACTGGGGAGTTGCCGGTTCAAATCTGAGCGACCCACTTTGACGGGTTGTTGTGAGGACAAGACAGGAAGAAAAAACTCCTTGGATACCGCAGACAATTTCACCAGCAGAAATATTATCCCATTAAATTATCTTAGAACTGTTTTTTATGTATTAGATTTATATCCTGCTTTTTCTTGCAACAAACTCAAAGTGGCTGCCATCATCCCCTTCTCCTGCTCTCCATTAATCCCTGCAACAACAGCCCTGTGAGGTAGGTAGGTTGGGCTGTGAGAGTCTGCGACTGGCCAAAAGACACCCAGTGAGTTCCACGGCACACAAGGAAAACGGACGGGGAGGGAAGAGGAAAAAGCGGTCTTTCCCTTTGTGCGGCCTGTTGGGGCGTGAGCTTCAGAGCCCCTGGGAGAGTCAGCCGCTACCCGGGGGCTTTACCTGGTAGCGGATCATGATGTGGGTCACGCGAGGCTTCCGGTCCCCGGTGTCGGCTTTGTCCTCGTTCGTCAGCACCGACAAGACAAAGTCACCGGGTTTGCTTTGGCTGCTGCGCACCAAGAAGCTCCCTGGCCGGCCCTTCTCGGTGAGGAGCTTCTCCGCCTCTTTGCCCGTCAGGTGGCCGTGAAACCATCTAAGAGGAGAGGGCTGGAGCTGAGCACAGCGCCGCGTCTGTCCTGGCCGCCCCGATCAGCCCCGGCCTGGGGTGCAAGTCCCCGCGGCTCTCCGGAAGGCAGACCCCGTCGCGGCTCCGAAGCCTCCTGCATTCCCTCACTTTCCCCTCTCTTCCCGGCTCCTTCCTCTAGATGGCACCTCTGGCCTGCTGTGAGCAGCGAGCCACTTCCGCCGAAAAAGCCAGCCCTGGTGGCCCGTTCCGTTGGCGTCTCCACTGTGAAGTCGCCAGGCCCAGTCCTGTGGAAATCCTGGGAGTGGAGCCAGTAGCTCCGGGCTCAAGGCTGGGCTTGCGAGCAGAGCTGGTGCCCCGGGGACTGGAGCTACCGGTTCGGCCTTCAGCAGGGCTGTGTATCCACTCCAGATTTTAGTCTGAGCTTCCCAGGAGCTGGCCTGCTGTCTCCAAATGTGAATTCAGCACCATGGAGAGTTCCTTACACAGTCAGTGTGAAATCCAGCGTGGATACATGGCCCCACCAACCGCGGAGCTCCCTGTTTCTATTGGGCCCAGATCGAATGCGCATTCAACAAGGCGCTGCAGGGCGACCACTTGGGCCCTGGAAAGGGGGCCCCAGTCCTCTCCCGATCCCGGGGACTCAAGAATCCTTGCAATGACCCAGAGGGACGCTGCCACAGGGGCATTGTGGGAAGGCAAGATGGCAGCCACTGGTAAATGACGGAGGGACACCATGCCAGAGCCCCCTCAAGCATTCCGCCACCCCCACACTGGCCTTAAAAAATAAAATACCCATTTTTCTTGACGGAACAGCAGCAATAACTGCAGTTCATGGTGGTGGCAGGGCCAAAGTTTTGTGTGTCACGGCCAAACCATCCCCAAACAACCCTATAAGGTAGGCCGGAATGATCCTCAAGAAACTTGGACGGGGTGGTGCAAAGGAGGCAGGTGGACGAAATCGCACCCAAAGGAAGGTTCCCCAGCCGGGCCCCTCCAGCTGGCTGGGGGAGCCTGGGCACTGTAGTCCAGCCTATCCGGAGAGGGCCAGGCTTTCTCACACTCACCTCTCCGAGGTGGGATCCTGGCAGTTCAGGGGAAACTTCAGCTCGATGACGTTGCTGTTCTTCTCGCGCAGCAGCCCCTGCTGCTCCGTGTAGTACTGGATCAGCTCGGCCAGGGTGGCAAACTTCTCCCCTCCATACAGGTCGTAGTAGTCGCCCGTGTTCTGGATTTTGATGTGGGTCACCTCATCGTTCCTTCTGGAGCAAGCAAAAGGAAAAGCAGTGTGAAAGCCAGAAAACCAGTGGAGAGCCAGGGTGGTGCAGTGGTTAAGAGCGTGGGACTGGGACTCGGACGATCTGGGTTCGAGTCCCCGCTCGGCCATGGAGCCCACTGGGGGACTTTGGGCCTGTCAGACTCTCAGCCCAACCTACCTCACAGGGTTGTTGTTGTGGGAATAAGATGGAGGAGGAGAATGATGCAAGCTGCCTTGAGCCCTTTGAGGAAAAAGGCAGGATATAAACCGAAACACAAATAAATAAATAAAAGCGTGTGGGGAGAAAGCAAACGCGCAGCGATAGAGACACACTCCACGTGTCCGGAAAGTCATGCGGATGAAGTCTCAGCACTCGAGAAGGGCTCTGAGGAGGGGGAAGCCGGCCAAGGTCGCTTGGGGTGGGGGGCCAGGTGTACGTTAAAACGCCGATCAGTCACAGTTCAGCCCCGCCGGAGGCAAGATGACCTCTTTTGCGCCACCCCGTTCGAGTGCCTCGTATTCAGAAGAACGCAAGCGAGTTTGGAACAGCGGAACGTGTCCAAATTGTGCCAAACTGGGTACAAGAGCACCAGAAACTTTGGAAATGGAGAGGAAAGCTTGCAGAGGAGCTGCGCTATCATCTGCGCAAGACGGCTCAACTTCTTTGCAAGCCGCCCAGAGACTTCTGGTACTGGGACGGCATACAAAAACGTTAATAAATCCAGTAAACAAACTTGGATCCTTCATCACGGCACTGCACTGAGTCGCAGCTCCGGCTGTCAGAGAGTTTTTGGCTGCCAAACACATCACGGCGCTTCCCCCTCCACCCTGCAGCCCCGACTCGGCTCCCGGCAACTTTTTCGACTTCCTGAAGATGAGGAATGGTTTAAAGGACACTGTTTTGACTGTGTGGACAACGTCCGAAGAGCCGCTGCGCAGGCCGTGACCACCATCCCACTGGAAGAGTTCCAGGGAGACTAAGAAGAACGGAAAAACCACCGCCACAAGCGTTGTGTACACTCACATACTTCAAAGGCGACAATGTTCAATTGTAAAATTTTCCAATAAATGGTTTTTTTTTAAATATCCTTCTCATTACTTTCTGGACACACCTCGTACTCATGCCAAAAAAGCATTTTTGCACCAAGCACGCTAGAAGGAAAACTCAGACGCAGCCGTTCATCCATCGCCCCCTAATTAACGAACAGATAAATGGGAAAGCTTCTCTTGGAAAGAGGGGGGCGCTCAGCACCCGAGGACTTCCCCCCGGTCCTGGGTGACCGCATCTGAGCCCTGTTTGAGCCCAAGTTGGCGTTCTGGCCACCCGGAGAACTTGGAATACCGGACGGCACAGAAATGCAAGCAAATTGCCCACAAAACTCTGGCCAGCCCAAAAGATCTTCTCGTTGCCTGGTACCTCCCTGCTTCCTTGCAGCAATCGTGCCTCCAACAAGATTGGAAATTCAGAAGGACTGAATCCCCTGGCTTTTTTTTTTAAAAAAGGCGATTAGGGTGTGCGGGGGAAGATGCCTCCCCCCAGCCAAGCTCATCCATCAAGCATCTGGAGTCTGGGGGCGCACAGCAGACCACGGGGCCCTCTAAGTGCCTTTTAAAAAGCAATTAGTCTTCCATCCCAGGAAAGCGAGCCAGGACGGGCGAAAGCCGGAGGGAGATAACGCTGCTCTGGACTCTGCTAATAGCCGGGCGGTCTTAACCCTCAGAGCCCTGGAAAAAAGGAGATTTGCCCCCACAGCAGCTTCCCTTCCTTTCTTTCGAAGAAATTAAAGTAAAATTAGGAGGCATCTTGAAACGGCACACCTGTATTCGGACACAAGGCTATTCCAGAGCCTCCGAAGCACAGTGTGATTTTTACCATTGAGAAAGCGCCCATGAAATACATGGAGCACGTTATGCTGCATAGATTCCTGGAAGACGGCTTTGGAATATTGCTGAAGTACGGGGACGGAGAGGCGGAAAAGAGAACGCTGGCCTTGCAACAAACCTGCTCGCGACAGCAGAAATGTCTGATGCTGCAGGGGTGGGAAAAAAGCATACTGCTCCTGGGCTGCGGTGCGGGAGGAGGGCGCCTTGCACATCACTGCCCGGCTTTCAGGAGAATAACTGGGGTTGTAAGCACGTGGGCTTACGAGGGTGGGTTATTGTGTCGTGTCGGAGAACCGGCACGGGGAACAACCCCCAGTTCGCAACCCAAGAACAGCCAGGGATTCTCTCCATGGGTTGTTCCTGGTTAAGAAGCCGTGGCCTGTTAGTGCAGCCGGGTTCAGATGACAGGATGGTCCGCACCACCTCCTCGGCCTGGAGGTCAGATCCAGCCTCCCTGCACCCCTCTTCTCCTGCCCGATCCCCAGTCCTCTGACCCAAAATGCACTCGTCTGCCTCCTCTGGTGCGCTCTCTCCCTGTCCTAAAAGGCAGCAGCAGCCGGGAAGGCCGGGATCTTTTCGCCCGGCCCCTTTTGCCAGCGGTGCTCTCAGTGCCGAAGTGCGGCCCCCTCCCCAAAACCGAATCAGGCTCTTGGGCTAAGAAGGCTCCCCAGCCCTGCCCTAGGCAGCTCCTTTTAACTGGGATGGCAGGAATTGAACCCGGGACCTTCTGCAGAAGGAGGACATGCCCCAGCAGGGAGGTGCCGGCCTTCCCCGTGAGGCACCCGCAGCGGCGCTGTTCCCAGCCCTACCTGAGGAGGGCGGCCAGGGGCTTCCGCCGTGCCCAAGATGCGCTCAGCCCGCAGTCGTCCCGAGGCGCCCCAGGAGGCGATGCGAGCCCCCGCTTCTTCGCAGCACCTGCGTTCGGACTGGGGCCGCATCCATTAGCTGCGGGCGGGCAAAAGCCAGCGTCCCCAGGGGACTGATTCATTACGCAGCCCGTGCAGGCGGCGCACACAACCCATCATCCACTGAGTTTTGAGAGTACGCAGCTTTGTCCCAGGTTTTTCCCATCCCAGAACTTGAGTTTCCAAACCGTCTCCCTTCCAGACTCGGACTTGCTTACTGTTAGCAAGGAGACTCTGCTCTGGGTTCAGGGGAGACAGGAACCCAAGCGTGTCAGCTTTCCTTTTTTAAAAATGCTGAGTTTCTAGCCCTCAAGGCTGCGAGGACGGGCTTGGTACATTGGCAACTCCCTTGGCCGACACGGGAGGAAGCAAAGGTCAGATCCCAGAAGTACCGAAACATCTGCCACTTAATTGCTGTCTTTACCCTTCCCCATGAATACACTTTGACAAAAATAAGAAACTTGCCAGCATTTTAAAAGAAAGGCTACATCATTTGGACAGCGGTCAGACTTGGTGCGGCATTTTCTGGAGAGACAGAGAACAAACTTCTGTTTCAACTTATATGAACTGGTCACACCAAAGCATGGCAAGAAAGCATCTGTTATGGGATTCGTGGTCTTTTCACTTCTATCTTCCTCTCTGGACTAGAGAAGCTGTGGGAATCGGCAGCCCGGGTGCTAAATCTCTCCGCCACATTCGGCAAGACGGCCATCTGCCCTTCCCAAGCTGGGCCATCTTTCCCTGAACCCCCATCTTCGGGGCAGCCTGCTCCCGGATCCCAGAAGGCCCAAAATCTCCCAAGGAGCAGTTGCAGGCCTCAGCTTGAATGGACTTTCTGCCTCTCAGCACAGAGTCTTGGGGCACACGAAAACAACAACCCTGGAAGGTAGCCCAGGGAGCCGAATCACACCCTGGCCTTTGTTCCCACCGGCAGGAAACCAGCTGCTACTCTCCGTTGGGGAAGGCACTCAAAAGCTCCCTTTCATTCCCGTTCCCGCCCCAGGCCAAGGCGACAAAGCCTCGGTTCAAGGAAGATTCCTGCCCCGCCTGAACTTGCAAGCCAAGGCCCTCCAGCGCTTTCTAATCAGGGGACGAAAATGAAAAATGGACAATCGATCTATTTAGCCGGATTTTTCGCGATGTTTCACGAGAGCTTGGGGCCCCCCATCCCACCCGCAGAATCCAAAACGGAAGAAAACAAGCCCGTCAGAACAGCCTCGCCCGCCCAAATGGCGGTGTGAGATTTCGATCTTGCATTTTTCGGTGGCCAGTGAAAAATCCGATTAAAAGGAACGTCTGCTCAGCATCTCGGAGTCCTTCTGAGGTCCATTCCAGGCAGGACTCGTTCCAAAAATGGGAATTGACGACCGAACGGTGCAGCCCGCCCGTCCTTGAATGCCAACACCTCTGCCGGGCCTTCTCTGTGGTGGCACCCCACCTGTGGAAAGCGCCCCCAGAGGGTTCGCTTGGCACCATCACTTTATGCTTTTTGGTGCCGGGCTAAAACCGTTTTATTTTCCCAATGTTTTCAGGTTTGCCTGTTTTTAATACTGGTTTTATTGTTGATTAAGATGCTGTGTTCTGTTTTATTTTGCCTTATTGTTAAACCGTCCCGAGACTACAGTAAGGGATGGTCTAAAAAGGGTTTAGATAAATAAAATAAACAAACTCCAATCCTTCCAACCAGCACAGAGCACCCAAGTGGCATCTAATGTTTAACCCGTTCCTCCCCATCAATGAGTGTGTTCAAGGATAGGCTGGACATGCACATGGTGGGCATGTCATGAGCAGAGCTGGCTGGAGCCGGGGGTCAGACTAGATGCCCAGGAGCACCCTTCTGACTCACTCTGTTCCTACAGAAAAGACGAGACCGTGGGGAAGTTTCCCATTTGGGTTCAACTCTTTCCATGAGCAGAGGCTTCTCTTTCCAGCTTTGGAAGGCTATTTAGAGCTCCGATGGCTCTTTTCTTTTGAATGTTCTAATTTTTTGAAACAATTATACAGAACACACACAGTACCAACACAACAGAGCACCTGCACAAGCTCAGACGGTTCCGTGCTCCATGGCATCTCGACATAAAAGAAGCACAATTCAAGGGACCGTCTCGCGTTTTAGAACCACGGGGAAGGAAGACGGGGAGGGACCGGCTCACGTGCCCGTTTCCTTGTGGGACAGCAGAAAAGCAGGCAGCCAAGAGGCAGGAAGTCGCAATGGTACCGAAACAGCCGTGGTGAACATTTTTCAAGGTGTTGCAAATATGTCCCAACAAAACCAGTGGCCTTGAGATCCCCAAATCGCTTGGGGTCATTTTATATTTTTAAAAGCGACTTACTTGAAAGCAAGGTTTCAGGGCAACTAATACCTCCGCCTGGAAGGGAAGCGACGACGACGCTCCTTTGGCAAAGGGGGCCATTTGTAGCAACCGAAGGGGAGCGATCCAGCAAAAGGGGTTTTTTTCTGGACCTCCGGCCTCCAGCAGAAGACTGCCAAACCAGTAAACAGACGCTCCGTTCTCATACGAACAGGTCTCATTTACCACGTTAACCTCCTCCCTTATCCTCAAGATTTGAAGCTCTTCTCCTCGGAAGGCGTGTTTTCCGCCGGCTGGCCCGGGGCCCAAACACCAATTAGGGAAATACGCAGATGCACTAATTTATTTCCTTTGAATTATTTACAGAGATCCAGCGGCCCCTGTAATTCCCCCCTCCTTCCCTCCCCGACACACGTGCTCTGAACAACAATGCAAAGGGCCCGGAGGGTCCAGAAACTAAAAGGAGACTTTCTCCAGTGTGGATGTGGCCCCTGGGAGTCGGGACGGCAGAAAGAGCTGCAAGAGGGTAGCTCTTTATGTTGATGGGCCCTACAAAGCAGGCGCCACGGGACGGAAGGAAAGTCCTGAGTTGAACCCCTGAAATGTTGCTTGCAAAGCCACGCTCAGCCCAGGAAAGCTGCAAAAAAGCAAGGCGCTTTTCCACCTCAGTTTTCCATCCCCACATCTGTAAAATGGGTCCCATCGGAGTACGTCCCTTCAGAAACCAAGGACACCACTTTCTGTTTTTAAAGGGACAGCCCAGTATTCTCCAAAACATTTTAAACTTTGCAGTTCTTACCTTACAGATAAAGTGAAGTCCCCCGGGTTGCTTTTGCTGGGCCGGGCCAAAAAGCTCCCATGGACGCCTTTCGTTAAGAGCAGTTTTTCTGCCTCAAGGCCGCTAATATTTGGGTGAAACCACCTGTGAAGGGTGGGGGGAGAAGGGGAAAAACAGGAAAACACACCGTTATTTTATATACTTACTGCTTTGGTATTCCGTTCACAGCTATCAAATCTCAGTTAATGAGTTGTACCGAATTTGGTCGATCCAGAGAAGAGGGTGAGGGTGAACCCTTCTATTCCCCACAGATAACCTTCACCAACCTGCTATCCTCTGGATGTGTTGGACTACAACTCCCATCTGCTCCAGCCAGCATGGCCGTGAACGCTGGCGCCACAGTCAGAACATCTGATGGGATACAGATCAGACTGGGGGAAGCTGACCTAAAATATACCCGTAATCCAAGTCATTTTATTAAAACTTCCCACAGTATTTTGCAGTGATAAAATGCCAGAGGCATTGTGGGGAATAAACGCCCCACCAGCCCCTGCGAGTGTCACAACAAGGACTCTGGAAGAGGAAAGGAATCCTTACCAGTGGGACTTCTGCCTGAACCGCTGTAACGCACTACAGCTGAGCCCTGGGTTATTTGCATGCCAGCAGCCGCACAGGGAAGTCCAACCTAATGGCTGTTCAAGCGACGGCACACGTAATTCACCGGGGGCTTTCCGAAGGATCTGGCTCAGCCTCCCCCCAACCAACCAGCCCACCGACTGCCCTCCATCGCTTCCCTGCCCCTCCAGGTACGGGCGGCACCAGGACACGTGGATCACCGGGGAGCAAAAGGGACCCTTTCGAATGCCACGGGGCTCCTCCGCGCGGAAGCCGAGGCCGCCTTTTCCCGCGACAAGTTACCACGAGCTGGAAAACGAAGGACAAGCCAATCCCTTTGCTCAGTCTTTTTGGCAGAGCAAGGGGGAGATATTCGGGTGTGCCCTCCGGCTGCCTGCGATCGGCAGCGTTCGCAGCGGTAAATGATAAATACACGCTGGAAAGATTTCTCTTCGCACGGGCTGAAGATGTCCAACCACAAAACGAAGTAAAATCATTCCTCGCACTCACAAGTGCCAGGTCACACTCTCTCACACACACACACTGCAAGCAGCAAAATCAAGGGGGCTCTTCCAGCGACATTCACCCCTCCAGAACAACACATGCAGAGAAGCAACTCCCAAAATCAGAAAAGTGAGCGATTTTGCCTCTGTTTGGCCAGAAGCTCCACTCCTTTCAAGTCGGAATGTCCAAACCTCTGATCCCACCAGCCACAGCAACAAATAGATAGATCAATCTTCTCTTCTTTTTCCCAGTTGACCCTTTGAAATCCTTGGAGAACCACGGCCAGTACTGAACCATTGCATTTTTTTACCATTTGTGTCTAATTGCATATATATTCCTATATGCATATTGCTCTTAATTCACACAGTCTTGCATGTGATTTTGCTAACGTACATATTTGAGGAAAGCTTTCCCAGACCTGCTGCTTTTCTGAGCTCTGTTTCCCTGCACCTCTGATTTGCTTGCCTGCTTTCGATGGTGAGTCGCCACTGCAAAATTCGGAGAGGTCCAAATTTGGAAAGATCGCTGAATTTTGGCTGCCATGTTGGCTCAGACATCTAAAATATGAATCTAGCTATTTTCTGCCTCATTAGCAACACAGTCTTTCTGGTAACTGGTAGCTTTTCACAGACATATAAACCCCAGGACATGAATCTCTTCGCCTCAGCAGGAAAATTATTACATAGGCTGTGGAACAAACACAGAAACAGTAGCTGCATCTTTCCAAAATACGGCATGTAACACAGAACAAAGTTTCTTCCCCTGAACTGAGAAGGCCCTTACAGGTACCTGCTGGGCCATCTAGCTCCATATTACCAACACGGGCTGGGCAGCAGGGTTTTCCAAGGGTGTCCGGTGGAGCTTTCCAGCCCTAATTGGACATGTAGGGACTGAATGCCCTAAACACTGAGATTCCAGCTCTTCCCTTCAGTTCTAAATATAAACCGAGGTGGGTGACCTTTTCCAGCCCAAGGGTCCAGCTCAATTTTGGAGAAGCTCGTAGGAGCTGCATCCCAGCAGCCGGGGGGCTCAGAGCGAAGCGAGCGGAGCCCAAGTGCCAGCTTGCTGTGGCTTAAAGCCCTTCCTGGAAACCACTGAGCCTTACAAAAAGCATTTCTTGGAGAAAGTGGTGCAGGGGTGGAACCTGAACAAAAATTAAGAAGTAGCCAAAGGATCGGTGGTTCTGGAAAAGTGTCTTCTGGGAACCCAGAACAGCAGAATTTGGACCACAGAGAAGCAGAGGAGACCCCAGGCAGCTTCTTTGCAAAACTGATTAAGCCCAGCCTTGCGACATCCGAGCAGCCAGGCAGCGCAGGGCCTCAGACGTGCCGCGCTTCTGCTTGGCCAGGGGTGCGAGGCACACGACCAGCAACGAGGACTGCTCATCCAGGTAATGAAGAATCAACTGCGCGCAGGCACGGGGCTGCGTGTTTCTGGCTGGAAAAGCAAGAACCCTTTCCGTTCATTGTACGCAAAAGAACCGTCCCTCCTTCCACTGCAGCTGAAGGGACAAGATAATAAGGTTTAATGACGCTTAAGGACAAGAGCGAGTTGCTGAACATTCTGGATTAATGTTCTAGCACTCTGAAAAGCTGTAATGAAGATTGAGCACGAGAAGCGCTGCGTGGGCCTCTCTTAACGGGTGCTGGGGCTTATGCCAGCGCAGAAAATGCTGTTGGACGCCAGCCCGGCCGAGGAGGCCTAGGGACAGCGGGTAGCCCCAAAGATTTCCGCCAGGAGCTGCTCCTCCCAGTACAGAAGGCAAAAGGAGAGACATCTCAACTTTGAGGAAGGTGGATTCCCGAGCACAAAAGCTCAGAAATCCAAGCAACTGGTCATCAGCATCCAGATCTCTGGGTTTTGATTCTGGGGCCAACGGTAGCCATATTAAAAAAAACATATACTGGTTTTTTAATATGGCTGGCTGTCCTGCCTCTGCTTCAGGAGGCCTTCTGGTCAGAAAAGCTTATCTCACCGGGCTTCTGAGGAAGAGGCCAAACCAGCAACTGGGGGCAACAGGGCGTGGATGGGGGGGGGGTTCCCCCTCCCCAGGTAACTTGGATGCTGTGACCGGATGGGAAGTCCACTCAGCTCTTGGAGAGAAGAGGGCCCTGCCTCGCCTGCCAGGCGGATGTCGTTAACTCCAGCCGGAGTGCAGGACATGGAATAATGGAGTCAAGTTGCGACAACCCAGATTCAGGCCGGGCATCAGGAAGAGCTTCCTCAGGGTCAGAGCAATGCGACAGGGGGACCGGCTGCCTGGAGGGGTGGGGGGCTCTCCCACACTAGGGACATTCAAGGAGAAACTGGGCAGCCCTCTGAGTGGGGTGGTGCGACTTGGGGTCCTGCAACAGCAGGGGGTGGACTAGATGGCCTTCATGGCCCCTTCCAACTCCACTATTCTGTGATTCTAGGAACCTTGTTGGAAACCCAACCTAACCTCGCTTTTGCCCCCAAACCTTGTTGCCTCATCCAGATCCCATGAATCGCCTGAACCTGAGGCCAAAACTCTGCTGCATTCTTACACTGCTGCCCGGCTTAAGGGACTTTGGACTGGAAGCAGAAAACTCTTCCAGTTGATTCCTTGGAAGGGTCCGGGCAGACAGATTGCTTCTTCGTCTCGGTGTTGCTCACACTTGGCGGTGGAATAGCTGGCCAAGTTCCTGGCTTATTATCTGGACGCTCATTGGAGCTGGGCAGGGAATGAGCACGTGGGGACAGGACGAAGCCAAACCAGAGTCAAAATTCCCGGGGAACAGGACTCCTGGCCCTGCCCTTCCCCCTTCTGCATCCACCCGTCTGTGGCAATTTTACCCACATGGTGAAAAGCACTGCCGAATTCTCCCACGGTGTACTTTTTCTTGGTCTGAGGGAAATAAACTTCCACCACAAAATCAGTTTTTAAAGGGACTGCAGTCTCGTACAAAGCTATTCCTGAGTCTTTCCTCCAGAACCTTGTTTCTCCCAAAAGTGCCAATCAAAACCTCCTTTGTTTGTTCGCCTTAATTCTCACGCGGGGAGTGATTTTCAAAGGCACACGCACAGGGCGCAGAAAGGGTTAAATTCCCCTCCCCACATGCTGTGGGTCCCACCCCCAACCTCTTCCTGCTGTAACACTGAAGCTGGGAGCAAACTGACTGCCTTTGGAACACCCTGAAACAGAGATCAAATCAAAAAGAACACTCTCTCATTTGAGATTAATTGGCTGAAAAATCCATTGGCGTTCCATGAAGCCTAAATAATTCCTAGCTATTTTTTGCATTTGCAGATCCACGTTTCCTGCATATATGAAGTTCCTTGCAAATCCATGGAATTTAATGCATACTCTGATGCCTATATAGAATTGTATGTTAGACGGAATTTTATACATACAGTATAGGAGATGTGCACTTTGTACAAATTTGACTTTCATGCAATTTTTATGAATGTATGGGATTCTGTACATCACCGGAATTGGGAGTTTAGCCATACATGTTATGCATATGGGGAATCTTATGCAAATTAAGCCACATATGCAACATTTATACAGATTTCTTTCCAGTGTGCCTGGATCCTAAATCTTTTAAGCACCTAGCAACACCCCTGGTTCCTTCCTCCATTCCACTAGTTTGGACCAGATGTTATTTTTATTGTTCTACCATTTTGCATTCACCGTATTATTTATTAGCAACTGTAAAAGAGACAGAAATGGAGAACTGCAGCAGCCCTTGGAAACAACAGGGTCCAGACGAGCACCTCTTTGCTGGTTTTGCTGTGCAAAATGACGTGCCAACAAAATCAGCACTTGATTTTTGGGTTGACGGCTGGACCCCTCTAGATGTCTTTGCAGAGTGGGAGGGCAGGGAGAGAGAAAGATGTGGAATGAGGCTGAAGCAGGAAATGTGTCCGTAGTTTTTCCGCCTACAGAAGCCAGATGGCCAGAAAGATAGCAGGCAGCCATGTTCGAAAGTTAACCACAAACATTTATAGCACAAGGCAACATGTTGCTAAGACCACAAAAATTTATCTGCCAAGAACGCCGGCCTTCTCTCCCAGTGCTTCCTCCGACAAGTGCTAAAGCCAAGGCGCTTCCATCCATGGCTTCCACCGGGAAATGCCCGGATCACACTCTCGAGATAGCAGCGGGGGACGAGGCGTTTTAAAATCCTAATTTCAGCACAGAATGAAACGAGGCGGACTAAGCATGCCGCTGGATCTCATTGATCTTTCTTGTTCGTCACTTCTGAGAAATGCGGGGTTGCGTTGGAGCAAGCTGACACATAACGGACCCGCGCATTCGAGCGCAGACCAAAGGTTATGCAAACAACCTCCTGGCCTTATAATACCCCCTGAGCATCTGTTCTATCAAAGAGCATCCTTCCTGTTTGCTTTTCCATGGTCTCTCAGGAAAACATGCCACCCACCAGCAGTGTAATAGCTCGCCGAGTTACTGAACGCAAGAAAATGCCTAAAAATGGCAAACAAAACCCAGCCCAAAAGCGCAATAGTAAGAGGAAGATACAACATCCTCGCCCTGCCGTAAACAAGAATCCAAACATAATCCAAACAACTAACTCTAAACATGTGCAGAAGTGGCACTGTTTATATACATGCTCAGATGCTCACAATCCCGAACTCATTCCAAATCCAAGAGCACATTTGTAAAACCTCATTTAAATGGCAAGCTGTACAAACAGGCAAAATTTGACCCTCAAGCTAAGGAATGATAGAAACACACACACAAAACTGTTTTTCTGCACAAAACTTTTTTCCTCCATGAGACTTCTCCTCTCTAACCACTATACCACACTGTTGCTTTTTTTAAAATAAACGGCATGATTCACCTTCTAAACTGCCATGCAATAGCAGCTCCTTCTGCATTGACGAAGACGGGAGAAACGCTTTCCAAAATCCAAGAGGCGAGGGGAGGCAACCAGCAGTCTTGGGAAGCGGCCATGACACAAACCCTTTGCCTTCCTCTCACACCTATTTCCATGCACAGCAACCCAACCACTCCCACATACAGGAGGAATTTGTTTTTTTGGATGCTGGGAGGGCAGGAAAGCCAAGCACGGTTCTCCCCGAGATCCAGAAGCAGGGTTCAGCCTGGACAACCGTCAAACAGGATCTGCAGCCAAACAAACGTGGCATCCATAGGGTCTGTATTTTTTAAAAATCCTTTGTAACCCAAACTGGAACAAAGGAGAAAGGAAGCATCAGCTGAGGAAGTGGCGGGGCGGAAGTGGGGGGAGCTGATTTCCGCTTTCTGGCTAGGTCCTGAAACTGCCCATGACGGGTGCGGGGGCCTCAGTGCCGCGGCTGGGAAGAGCTTCAGCTACAGAACGGGTCAGAATCCGCCCCAGGTAGTTGCCCAAAGGGAACCTTCCCCTCTCGCTTCCTGGGGCTCGGCCAGAAAGAGTCCAAGAGGAAGAGGCGAACCCACACATCCACCCACAAAGACGCAGCTCGTGGGGGGTCCCAGTGGTTAAAAGCTGGGAGTCCAGTCCCCGCTCACCTCGCAGCTCGCTGGGCGACTCGGGGCCGCTCGCTGACTCAGCCTCGCCTACCTCGCAGGGCTGTTGGAAGGACCAGTGTCACATCGTGATTCAGAGCCGGCCAAGGTTTGGGTGACCTGGGCCAGTCACTGACTCTCGGACTAGCCAACCCCGCAGGGGTCTTGTGTGGATCAAGCAGGTAGGTTTCCGCAAGCTGCTTGAGGTTTCTTGTAGGAACCACTAACGGACCTACATCCTGGACAACAGGCTAGGAAAACCTTCTGTAAGGTTCGGATGCCAATTCAGTGTGGTAACTCGTGCACCCGTACTGAAATATATTCATAATGCCAATATCAGTTGCCATATTCTTACATTTGCGTTTCCAGAACTAGTAACACTTTGATGTTTTCTGCAAATAAATGGCAATTTCATTTCGCAATCATGTTGCACGGATGGGAATTTGTTTCCAATATGTTTTCTTAACAAATGGCTTCTTTTGTTTCAACTTGTTAAATGCCTTTCGCTTTCATGGCATTGTTACTGTATTTTCCTGGCTGTTTTATGGATGGGCATAAACCGCCCGACAGCTTCGGCTGTGGAGCAGTATACAAATGAATTTTTTAATCCTCATCCTCACCTTTGCTGGGTCCACAGGTGAAGGTTTGTCCCGTATTATGAGGGAAAGGTGAGAGCTCTCCATGGCTTGGCCATGGAGCCAACTGGGTGACTTTGGGCCAGTCAGAGACTCTCAGCCCAGCCTACCTCACAGGGTTGTTGTTATGGGGATGAGCTTGAGAACAGCAGAAGAATGATGCAAACTGCTTTGAGTTGGTTTGAAAAAAGCAGGATATAAATCTAATAATAAATAAATTGGCATATGGAGGGTTGGCAACTTGGGAGATGGAGCACCTGGTGAGTGAAGCCGGCTGGTGCCGGAGGTCAGACTAGATGGCCCGGGAGGCCCCTTCTGACTCACTCTGTTTCTATGTTTCACCTGCTCTGCCTGCCGACGATTCCCCGTCTCCTCTCGGAAGGACCAGGTGAGAAGACCTGGAAAAGCCCTTTTCTTGCCCGAGACCTTGCAAGTTGGCCACCAGTCGGAGCAGAAATCCTTGGCCTGATATCTGGGGACTTCTGTGTGTTTACTCATGGGAATTCCTCTCCCAGGACTCAGGTCCCCCAGCAGCAAAGCCCTTCAGCTAAAAACAGGAAGGCTTTCCGGGGGGTTTTGGCCCACCCACCTTGGAAAGAGCATCTCCGGGATGAAATTGGGCCCCTGTACCAAGGGAGGCACCGGGCCAACGTGAGAGAGAGTTTGCTGTTGAAGCGCAGAAAGACTCGTCTGCAGCGTCCCGAGATGCGAGGTGGGCCGCAAGGGACCCGGTAATACATCAATCTGTCAACGAGCGCTCCCTTTCCTGGGCCTATATTTAGAATTTCCACTTCTGCCCTGGATGGTGATGGACCGTAGAGGCCCCTGGCTCTTTTTACAGTGATGTTTTTCCCTGCCATGCCAACATTTTGGAGCTCACGAAGGTGCCTGGTTTACTCCTTCAAAGGACATTTCTTTCAGGAAACTGGAATTGCTCCGGAATCCGTTGAAGCTGAAGCGGAGGGTTCAGTGAAGGTGCATAAGGCACCAGCCTCACAACTCATCCTTGCCGAGTGCTCAATTTTCAAGGCAGGCCTTTGCCCCGTCTCCGTAGCACTCAGTTCGGGGTGGTGCCCGGGACACGTTCTTTTTTTAATGTGTCTCAGTGTGTCCACGTCCTAAACGGATGGTCATGTTGAGTCCCCTTGGAGCCAGCTCCCCCAACATGGGGCACCTACAAGATGTTTTCTGTGTCCCAAACACTGATTTCAGAAATTACTCCCACCCCAATCTGTGCATGAAGCCCCCAGATTTCTAGAGAGTGCAGGAAAGTTTATACAGTGTGCTCATCCTTCACTGGAACTCAAACAGCCCCATTTAATGCCCTGTGGATTTACCTGTGCAAGCACAGCTCCGATCTTGCCCCTCAAGTCCCCATGTTCCACTTGTGGGGCTTCCCAGGGACCTCCAGTTTGCTGCTACAGGAAACGAAGAGGCGCTGGGTCTGATCCTCGGTGACCCCTTCTCTCTGATGGCTTTTCCGAGACACTTTAAATCCAGGGCGGGTCTCAGCACCCAACGCCCAAAGACACCGCTTACCTCATCCTTGCCGGACTCTCAGGCCAACTCTCGCGCTCCACACTCGGGCCTTCGCATGCTTCTGGGCGCTTTTCCGGGGGGAGCTCAGGCAGCCCAGAGGGCTTAGGTCCCCTCGCACCAGTGCTTTCGAGACAGCCCTCCTGCCAGTGGGTGAAGGCTCTGGTGCGACTGGGAGGCAAAGCAAAGCAGGTTGTCCTTCCCCCACACTGGCCCAACCCTGGAGTTGGAACCAGAGGCTTTGTGACATCACAAAGCCTCCCACAATGACTCGGTCTGGGCAGCATCACAACCCAGGAGGACCGCGTGGCTGTTGCAACACGGATCGTGGCCTGAGCCCAACGGAGACAACCCACAATTCACAGCCCAACAACAATTCCGCCTATGGAAGGTGCTCCCCAGAGAGGTCCGCCTGGTGCCGTCGTCATTTGTTTTTCAACTTGTTATTTCAACAATATTTTAATAACTTTTAATATCAGCTTATAGGTTTTCATCTGCAGCCGGCGTGGATCTGGATTTTATGCGTATTATGTTTTATTTTATTTTATGTCAGCTGTCCTGAGGCTATGCGATGGACAGCATACAAATACTCTAAATAAATAAATGAACAAGCCACTGGTTCTCTGAACAGCATTAAGGACGAGGCTGGGGGTGTCGCTCCGGCCCTCACCTCTCCTCCCCACCAGAGCTCTGCATGGTGGTTCCACCGAAGAGGCTGCGTGCCCGGAGAGCGGGTGCCTTTGTTTAGCCTCTGTTTACCAGGCTGCTACGGGGACAGACGCTGCCGCGAGACGGGCCGATGCAGGGAGCCTCTTTCTATATATTTAGCTTCTCGGGAGCTGGATATAGCAAGCCCAGGTTTATCTAAGATGAGGCTTTTGTGGGAGAATCACAGAGGCGGAGGAGCAGGTTGCTGCACGGCCCGGCTGGGACCCCTGAAGCACTCAGGTGAGCCAGAGCTGAGACCGCATATACCTCCAGCCGCGAGTCGATTCCTGGCTTCCTCTCGCCCCCAATCCAAGCCACAAAGCCTTTCCCCACCCAGAGTGCTGTGATCCAAAGAGATCCATTGATTTATGATGTATTATTTTTATTTAGGATGCTCCAAGATGGAATTACTGTTTTTAGACAGTCCTGGGCAAAAAAAAGAAAGAAAACAAAAGCCTTCTAACAAGCTGCGGTGAACAACCCACAGTTCACAAGCCAACAACAAGCCATGGCTTGTGGTCTCAGCTGGGTTCAGACAAACACGATATCCCAGGATTCAGCAACAAGGCAGGGTTCACTGACAAACCACACTCAGCCCATTGCTGACCCTTGACGGGCGGTTCTCATGTTGTCCAAACCCAACCGGAGAACAATTTGAGTGGAAAAAGGCAGCTCGTTGGCCGATACGGGATGCTCGCAGGACTGGCAGATTCGGCCATGAACAAGAACTCCCAGGTTTGCCCAAGCACAACAATCTTTGCCCTACAAAAGGAACAGCAGAGAACTGAGTAGCTACAACAGGGAAGGGCTGGGAGCAGAGGAAGAAAAATGGAGCGCATGGCAGGCTAAAATCCCGAAGGGAAGGTCCTCCATACGCTGCCACTGTCTGGCTAACCCAACTCGTTTCATGAATCTTCGCCCAGTTTCGTAGGCTTTTAACATTTGTCAATGGAACACCTTGGCCCTAACTGTTCCCTTAGCCACAGGGCATTGCCAAATGCAGGCTCCTTGGATGCAGAGACCTGTGCGACTCCAATTTGGGGGTGTACCTTGGTGCTGCTCCCCCAAGCAGATGAGCCTCAGTTCCTTGCACACGAAACATTGCAATTGTGTGTTCAACAAAGTCCGTGGCTTCGCACGAGCACACAGTAAAAGCTGAGCTCTTACCTTTGCTTGAACATCAAAATTGCTTTTGTGAATTAGGATCCTCAAATCATTTAGGAAAACGCGTCCAGTACCTATCTTGTTATAAACAAAGCAGGAACCTACAAAACAGGAATCTGGTTTGTTTGACCTTGACGTGGCTGGAAGCGAGCAAAGTCGGGGCAGGGGGTGGGGGGACAAGATTCATGGATTTCCATCTCTGACACGCAACACCAACTTGTACACTTTTTAAAAAATTTGGTGCCGCTAATGAAATTTGCACAAATAAGCACACAAGAACGGTGTGGCTTTAATATGTCTTGTGCCGGATATACTGATCTGCAAGCATCAGAATTTGCAAAAATTCCAGCGAGCACCAATCTTAGAAAACTGCCTGCGTCAGTCGCGTTAGAACTGGGCAGTTTTCTGGTGCTCATTAGCACAAATTGCTTTCGCAATTGAAAGAGGAACCGGTAGAAGCAGAAGTCCCCGAGCAGGGCCCACGAGCGAGGGCA